CTTGAATTTCCAGGTCCAGGTGCATGCTATTATTTCAAAGAAGAACAAGTCATTTATCTAATATTCATCACTTAAACAAATTCACAAAAGAATAATGTATCTGCTCATAATTGCATTGTTGTTTGTGGGAGTTTGTTATTTGCAAAATTGACTGTCATGTTTCCGAGATTGTACAAGTGACTGTACTTCAAAAGTGCTTCATTGGCAATAAGCTTGGACAACCAGTGGTTGTGGAAAGTGCAACATAAGAGCAAGCCTGTTTGTAAAATATTCTTATAAATGGAAAGAACGTTTGTGTGCAATATAGAAGCAGAGAAGCAGCTGAAATTCATTCAGCTGACCCCATTTTTTTAACTCAGAGCTTTGTGCAAGGGCAAATCCGATAACACAAATCATACACTGAGAACTGGTTTTGATTATATTTAATCCTCTTATTATTGCTTTAGATGGCTCTTATTTGGTCCCCACAACAAACTCCTTTTCTTCCCCATCAACTCCCTGTCAAATGTTGTTTTTCCATTCATTCAAAGTGTTAGTGTCACTGCAACACTCTCTTTTATTTTCTATCGCTAATCACCCTTCAAATAGAACTGCCTTCTAGAACTTTGTGAACTGAAGTGTCAGGGACGGAGTTGCAGAAATTGGGACCAGCATTTTGAAGGAACAACAATAAATTTCTAATCCAGCATACTGTGAAATTTGGCAGAAACCTTGCCAATGATAGTCTTCTCAGGCTGCTTTTGTGTTTCTAGATAGGAATGTTGGCATGTTTGGTGCATGAGGGAGAGGAAAGAAGCCTTGGCAAGATGTGAGGCTACTTTTAGAATATTGCATATAATTCTGGTTGCCCTTCCATGGGAAGGATGTTGTTAAACTTGAGAGTGCTCAAAATAGATCTACATGGATGTTTCCAGGACTGGAGGGTTTGAGCTATAGGGACGGGCTGAATAGGCTGGGGCTATTTTTCTCTGGAGCATCAGAGACTGAGAGGTTACCTTATAGAGATTTACAATATCATGAGGGGCATAGACAGGGTGAATAAGCAAGATCTTTTTCCCAGGGTGGGGGAGTCCAAAACTAGAAGGCATAGGTTTAAGGTGGTAGGGGAAAGATTTAAAAAGGACTCAGGGACAACTTTGTCATGCAGAGGGTATTGCGTGTATGGAATCAACTGCCAGAGGAAGTGGTGGAGGCTGGTACAATTACAATATTTAAAAGGCATCTGGATGGGTATATGAATAGGAAGGATTTAGAGGGATATGGGCTAAGTGCTGACAAATGGGACTAGGCTAGATTGGGATGTCTGGTCTGCACGGGTGAGTTGGAGCAAAGGATCTGTTTCTGTGCTATATGACTCTATGACTGTATGATTCTATAAAATGCTGTAAAGTATTTTGTAAATGGTGCAAAATATGCATTACGGAAAATTATCAAGGCTTCTTTAGCAGCACCTATCACAACCTCTACATAAGAGCAGCACATGCCTGGAAACACCACCATCTACAAGTTTCCTCAATATGCACATCATTCTGACTTGAATGACATTGAATTGATATCTTGAAACTATCTCCCTAATAGCACTGTGGGTGTACCTGCACTTAATCAATTACAGCTATTCAAGAACACAGCTCACTACCACCCTGACATGGTACACTGTAGCCACAGTGAACCATTGATAGAAAGAGTGAATGTTTAAGAAAATGAATGGGGAGCCAACCAAATACATTATTTTGTCCTTTATCTAACATTTTTGTGGTAGTGTAAAAGAAACCTTAGCGTGTTGCTGCAGTGCATCTTGTAGATGGTGTACAATGCTGAGAATGTGTGTTGGTGGTTTAAGGATTGAATGTTTAAGTTGGCGGATGGTGTGGCAGTCAAATGTGCTGTTTTGTCCCGATAGTGTCACCCTATCATTGAAGATGGCGGGTTAAGTTGAGGAAGTGGTTAATATGGGTTCCTAGGCTTTATAATTATTGGCATGGAGTGCAAAAAACAGGAATGTTAGGAATTGAGAAGAGTGGTCACCAACAAACACAATCATCTTTTTTTGTGCTACGTACAACACTTGTGATATGTTATCACCCTGATTCCCACTGACTTCAACTCTACAGGGGCTTCTTTATGCCACACCTAATCAAAGGCCTTGATATTAAGAGCAGTCACTCTCATTTCACCTTTACAATTCAGCTCTTATATCAATGTTATTATGGACCAGACCAAACACCCTCAAAGTACATTAAGAAGATAGCCTAGACCCTAACTTTTCTTATTTTTAAAGGTAAATGTAAGGCATTGCATTTTAGTTACAATTTGATTGGCTGAACCACTCCACTATAAACAAAACACATTTTATTTTTACACTACAAATAAAATAAAAATAAAACAAAAGAATTGGCTTAATTGTAACTCTACAGAAATGCTTAACAAAATAATATATATAAACTACTACTAATTAACTGTTCAAATATAACAACATCCCATAAACACACCCTTGGCAAAGGCAAATTCAGTAAAATAGAATGTCTCACATGCAATTGTAGCAGCAGGAAGAAAACCCCAGCTTTTAGCTGTAACAGAGGGAGGAATAAAAGCTTCCACATTCAGCTTTAATACCCCAGCAACTGCAGAAAGCTAAAACTAAAAATCCAGATTCTGTGGGAGCTTGATCCCATCCACTCAGACTGCTCCTATTGTTCAAACTTTAAGAGAAAAACCCCAAGGACTCCCAGGACAAAATACACTTCTTAAAGCTATAACATCGTCACAGTGTTTGGACCAAGATTATAATGAGGTTTAGAGCTGAGCAGCAGAAATCAAACTGAGCATTGATTAACAGATTATTGATAAGTAAGTGCCATTTGATGACATAATCAACAGCTGTGACTGACCCAAGCAATTTGCAACTTCGATATCTGGTTTCATTTGCAGATACAACTACATTTCACTCTTTACCAAGACTATTTAATAGAACCCGACTTCAACAAAAATTCCCCAACTTTACCTCTACTTCAGCTCACAAGCTCTCCACCTCCTCTCTCTCCCTCCTTCTGTAAGACTCCTAAAACCTATCTTTTTGAACATGCTTCTGGCTATCTGTCTTGAAACCTCTTTTGTGAATTAGTGTCCAACTTTGTTTGATAATATTGCTGTTAAGAAACTTGGGATGTTTTATTGCATTAAAAATGCTTTTTAGATGAGCAATTGTGTTATAAGATTTGAACGGAAGCCAATTATTGTAGTGTGTAAGTACTGGAAGTTCCTATTAAACTGTTCTACAAGGATAATCAAATTACATTAAGGTGCAGGGCTGGATGAACACAGCAGGCCAAGCAGCATCATAGGAGCAGAGAGGCTGACGTTTCGGGCCTAGACCCTTCATCAGAAAAGCGGGAGGGGAAAGGGGTTCTGAAATAAATAGGGAGAGAGTGGGAGGTGGATAGAAGATGGATAGAGGAGAGGATAGGTGGAGAGGAAACAAACAGGTCGAAGAGGCGGGGTTGGGGCCAGTAAAGGTGAGTGTAGGTGGGGAGTTAGGGAGGGGATAGGTCAGTCCAGGGAGGACGGACAGGTCAAGGGGGCGGGATGGGGTTAGTCGGTAGGAGATGGAGGTGCGACTTGAGGTGGGAGGAGGGGATAGGTGGGAGGAAGAACAGGTGAGGGAGGCAGGGACAAGCTGGACTGGTTTTGGGATGCGGTAGGGGGAGGGGAGATTTTGAAGCTTGAGAAATCCACATTGATACCATTGGGCTGCAGGGTTCCCAAGCGGAATATGAGTTGCTGTTCCTGCAACCTTCGGGTGGCATCGTTGTGGCACTGCAGGAGGCCCAGGATGGACATGTCTTCTGAGGAATGGGAGGGGGAGTTGAAATGGTTCGCGACTGGGAGGTGCAGTTGTTTATTGCGAACCGAGCGTAGGTGTTCTGCAAAGCGGTCCCTGAGCCTCCGCTTGGTTTCCCCAATGTAGAGGAAGCCACACCGGGTACAGCGGATGCAGTATTCTGAGGAATGGGAGGGGGAGTTGAAATGGTTCGCGACTGGGAGGTGCAGTTGTTTATTGCGAACCGAGCGTAGGTGTTCTGCAAAGCAGTCCCCGAGCCTCCGCTTGGTTTCCCTCTGAGGAATGGGAGGGGGAGTTGAAATGGTTCGCGACTGGGAGGTGCAGTTGTTTATTGCGAACCGAGCGTAGGTGTTCTGCAAAGCGGTCCCCAAGCCTCCGCTTGGTTTCCCTCTGAGGAATGGGAGGGGGAGTTGAAATGGTTCGCAGCGCCACAACGATGCCACCCGAAGATTGCAGGAACAGCAACTCATATTCCGCTTGGGAACCCTGCAGCCCAATGGTATCAATGTGGATTTCACAAGTTTCAAAATCTCCCCTCCCCCAACCGCATCCCAAAACCAGTCCAGCTCGTCCCTGCCTCCCTAACCTGTTCTTCCTCCCACCTATCCCCTCCTCCCACCTCAAGCCGCACCTCCATCTCCTACCGACTAACCCCATCCCGCCCCCTTGACCTGTCCGTCCTCCCTGGACTGACCTACCCCTCCCTAACTCCCCACCTACACTCACCTTTACTGGCTCCATCCCCGCCTCTTCGACCTGTTTGTTTCCTCTCCACCTATCCTCTTCTCTAACCATCTTCTATCCTCCTCCCACTCTCTCCCTATTTATTTCAGAACCCCTTTCCCCTCCCCCATTTCTGATGAAGGGTCTAGGCCCGAAACGTCAGCCTCTCTGCTCCTATGATGCTGCTTGGCCTGCTGTGTTCATCCAGCCCTGCACCTTGTTGTCTTGGATTCACCAGCATCTGCAGTTTCTACTATCTCTGAGCAAATTACATTAAACAGGTTTGGTCAAAGATGACCCAACGACAAGGATACCTCAGCATAGAGCAGTTTATTCACACCTAGATCTTCCCGTTCAGCAAAGCCTATCTGGATTAGCTGAGATCAAGTATCATGACAGTGAGCGTGCTGCAATTAAGACTTACTGTCTCTTCCCGAGGAAACAAATCAGTGAAGTCTCACTTTCTTCAGGTGCAGTCATAGTTCGTTTCAGCTCTGGCTTATTGTTTCTAACTCCTAGATTAGAATGTCTGGATGTCTCAGTCCAATGATTTGAGCATCAAATCTACGTTGAAGCCTCAGTGCGAAAATGAGGGAGTACTCCATAGACGCTGTGTCTCAGATAGGTATTGAAACGTGGCCTCTTCTGACCCTTCAGGTGAATGTAAGAAATCCAACTGTATTATTTTGAAGTTTAACAGGGGAGATCCCACCACCACCACACCAGCCCCCTCCCCCCCCGACCCCAACACACACACACACACACAGTCTCCAGGCCAATATTTATCATTCAATCAACATCAGTAAAAGATTATCGCATCATTATCACATTGCTGTTTGTGGGAGCTTGCTGTGAATACTTAACGCATTTCCATGTTTACAACAGTACCATACTTCAGTATGGCTTAATTAGCTATAAAAATGCTTTGGGACATCATGACATCTGATATAAATGAAAGTATTTTCCACTTCAGCTTGATGCATTTTCATACTTAAGTATCTGGTGCTCATTAACACTTGTGGAAAGTTGCCCACTTGGCTGAAGGGCAGAATGAGTCACCATCTTCAGAAGGCTTAGAGAAACTTTGCGTAACCGAGTGTAGATGAGAAAATATCGACAACATAGGAATTCAACAGATTGATAACTCTTTCTAGCCAAAAACAACATTTTCAGCTGCCCACGATGCAAGGCTGACATCTGCTCAGAGTCGCACATTTCTGCTATGATTTCCACAGGAAGTAGAGACTAGGAATAAATGGGTCTCATTCAAGCTGGCAGGATGTTACGAGAGTTGTGGCACTGGGCTCAACTCTTTACAATTTATGTAAATTATTTAGATAAAGGAACAAAAGGTGTGAATTTTTACATGTAAATTTACTGATGACACAGAGATAGGTAGGAACATAAGTTGTGAAGAGGACGTAAGGAGCCTACAAAGGAATATATACGTATAATTGAGTGAGTTGGCAAAGATCTGGCAAATATATTATCATGTGGGAAACTGTTAAATTGTCCATTTTGGCAGAAATAATAAAAAAGAATAAAAATGATCGAAATGGCACAAGGCTGCAGAGCTCTGAGATGCAGAGAGATCAAGGTGTCTTAGTGAATGAATCACAGAAGGTTCATATGCAAATACAGCAATTAATCAGGAAAGCTAATGGAATGTTATGTTTTATTGCGAACGGAATTGAATGCAAGAGTAGGGAGATTATGCTTCAGGTATAAAGGGCATTGGTGAGACTGTATCTAGAGTACTATTGCAGTACTGGTCACTTGTGGAAGGATGGTAATGAGTTGGAAGCAATTCAGATTTGGCCTTTATCCTCCCAGCCTTTCTGAATATCATCTGGTATCTCACCTGCATCTAGCGAGGATAGGAAATTATCCTCGTGCATTTGATATATCCTCCCTGGCTTCCTCTATCAGCCTAGAATACAATTCATCAGGCCTAGCACTCCCTCTAAGCTGCACAGCCACTAGGAGGTTCTGTGCAAGCTGCTAGCAAGTTAATCGTGTGCTGACACACGGACTTCCAGTTTTGGAAATTGTTGTCACACACGGGTCGTCAGAGGTCTTTGCAGGTGAATAAAATTTACAGGGAATATAGATCTGAATCTGGTGATTTATCCGTCTTCAAGGAGGACTGTCCCACCAGTATATCCTTTCTCATTAGGCATTTTTAAACCAGCAGTTCACACCTCTTCTTTAACTAGAACTGCATCATCCCTCTCATTTGTGAAGTCAGAGATAAAGTTCACATTAAGAGCACTCCCTATATCTTCTGTCTCCTTGCACAAGTTACCATGTAGATCTTGGATAGCTCTAATCCATTCCTTACTCATCTTCCCGTACATAATGTAATAAAATATCTTGAATCTTCCTTAATTTTAAACAGCCAAGTTTTTTTTGCATCATCTCTTTGCATTCCTCATATCCTTTATCACTTCCTATATTCCTATATTCTTTCAAGTTTCCTAAAGTATTACTGTGTTTGGAGATTGTCAAAAGTTCTCTTTTTCTGCTTTATCTTACTCTGTGTGCTTCTGGATAGCCAAAGAGCTCTAGATTGGCAGTATTAGAATTTTAGTATTAGAATAGAGGGGACATACCCACAGTGACACCACACAATCTTGTTTTTGAATACGTTCCACAGATTTACTATTGACCTTCCTTTAGGTAGTTGTAACCAGTCAAGTTTTGTCAAATTATATCTTAGCTTTACAAAACTTACCTTTCAGCAACTTAGAACTTTTACTCCTGTTCTAGCTTCGTCCCTTTCCATTATGATGCTATATCTAACTGTATTGTGATCACTATTTCAAAACTGCTACTTCATCTACAGCTACATCTTCATGTCCTCTGACTGAATCTCTAATTCCAGCCTTTCTCATTGGGCTTGTTATGTTCTGGTTCTGTTAAATTCAATTCATGAATTTTGTGCCTTCTGTGCTTTTCATGTTGTTTGTATTCCAGTTGATATTCGATAGTTGAAGTCCCCTTTCAGAAATTCACTTACTCTTCCAACTCTTTTCCATTCCTCATGAATATTGTGGTACATACCTAGAAGTGTCGCTATCCCCATTTCCTTTTTGAACTGTAGCCTCTTTTAATGCTTCTTTTAGTATATCATCCCTCCTCACAGCTATAATTGATCTGTTAGCCAATAACACTACACCCCCACCTTTTTTATCCCATTCATTATCCTGCCCAAAAACTCTGCATCCATGAATCCTGACCTGAAATCCTTGCCCCTCTTTAAGCCACAATTCCATTATAGCAATAATATCCAATTGCCATAATATGTCTGTGACCTCAGCTAATTGGTTTAATTTGCTATGCTCCTGATTACATACACACACACACACCTTTTAATGCTGTCTATTTTCTAACCTCTGTTTCCTCTGTTTTTCATAGCCACTTGATAGATTTCTGCTTAATTTGCTGTCAGGTTTCCATACCCCTGCCAATTTAATATAAACTTTCCCCGGTAGCACTAGCAAATCTCCCAGCAAGGATATTTAACCTGATCCTGTTTATGTTTAGACCATCTGAATTGTACAGGTCTCACCTTCACCAGAACCAGCCTTGATGCCCCAGAAATGTGATATCCATCCTTCTGCACCAGCTTTCTAGCCATGCATTCAATCATTAATTTCTCTTATTTCTATGCTAACTAGCACATGGGACTTAGAGGAATCCTGAAACAACTGCTTTAGTTGTCCTGCCTTTCAATCTCCTACCTAGTTCCCTGAAATCCACTTTCAGCACCCCATTTCCATTTGAACCCAAGTCACTGGTATTAACTCGGAGCTCTAGCTAGTCACTATCACTCAAAAGAATGTTCTGTAGCCACCCATAAGATTTCTTTGCCCTGGCATCAGGGAGGCAACATACTGACCTGAAGTCGTCAACAGTTAAAGAAACACCAGTTTGATCTCCTGACTATGGAATTCCCTGTCACATTTGCACTTCCATTCTTCTTCTCTTTTAATGGGTAGCTGAACCACCAATGGCACCACAAACTTGGCTCTGGCTTCAATTTCCTAAAGTGGAATCAACATCCAGAGTGGAATATGAATTAGCAAGCAAGACATTTTCGGGGAATACTGTACTTCCTGTATGGTTCCCTTAGACTGCCTGGCAGTCACCCATTTCCTCACTGGGTGTATACTTCTAGTCGTGGTTTAACCACCTTCTTATATGGGATATGTGCTATTCTTGTCGTTCTCTGCCTTGCGAATACACAAGAGTGACTCCAGCTGATGCTTTATTTCCAAACATGTAACTCAAGTTTGTGAAACTGGTGACATTTCCTGCAGATGTGTTAATCTGAGACAAATGGTGTGACCATGACTTCCCACATACCACAGGATGTGCACTCCACGTTACTGAACTAAAATCTGCCATCTGGTAACTTTGAAAACTATTTATTAGAATATTACACAACTTGCCAGTACTCACCACTCAGCTGTTTACCCTGTATGAAGTAAGAGTTCAGTACTGGAGTCTGAAAATGTAGAAGAACAGAGCATTACCACTCCCCTACTCCTTACCATAGACCACCTGATATTGGCCTAGGCACCAGAAACAGCAATGATAATTACAGCAAAAGAAAAACAAAGAACTGCAAATGCTGGAAATCAGAAACAGAAGTAGAAATGCTGGAAAAGTCAGCAGGATAGGAAATTAGGCAGCATCTATGGAGAGAAAGCAGAGTTAACGTTTTGAGTTTGATAATCTTTTTCAGAACTGAATTGATAATTGATCGATGATCAAACAATGATAATGACAACCCTCTCAGTCCTACAAAATGCTTTGGACTCCCAGAGATGTTCCTCTTTTAAAGGCACTTTGACTGATCAAGTAGCTTGGTTTTAGGAATTGGGAGGGAAAGGGGAGTAGAGATTTCTGCCAAGACCCAGCCTCTTATTGCTGATTCCCCTTCCTGCCATTAAACATCTTAGACAACACCTTCCAAACCCACAACAGCTACCACACCAGCACTGGCAAATTCCCCTCCAAGCCACTCACCATCAGACTTGGAAATATATCACCATTCCTTCACTGTCGCTTGGTCAAAATCCTGCAACTCCATTCCTAAAATTGTGGGTCTACCTACAGAAAATGGACTGCAGCATTTCAAGAAGGCAGTTCTTCACCACTTTCCCAAAAGCTCCCAGGAAAGTGCAATAAATGTTGGCCCTGCCAGTGATGCCCTCATTCCACAAATAAATAAGTAAAACCTTCAGCTATAGCCTGAATCCCTTGGTGACCTGAGGTCTCACAAAAAAGGAAGGTAGAAATCATGAATCCATGAATCACAAAAGCTAACATCCAAGTTCAGTGGGTAAAAGGCAAGGCAAATGTAATGTTGGCCTTTCTTGTGAAGGGAATGGATATAAAACTAGGGAGGTTTTGCTAAAAATATACCAGGCGTAGTCAGATACATTTGGAATAATGTGAACATTTAGACCCCTTATCGCAGGAAAAATATACTGGCATTAAGGCAGTCAGTGAAGATCCACAAAGCTGATACCCAGTATGGTTGGACTGTCTTATGAGGAGAGGTCGGGTAGTTATTTTTGTTCATTCATTGCATTAAGGCATTGTTGGCCAGGCCAGTACTCATTGCCCATTCCTAATTGCCCAAAGGGAAGTTAAGAGTCAAGCATATCGCTGTTGATCTGGATCACATTTGGGCCAGACCAAATAAGGAAGGTAGTTTCCTTCCCCAAAGGACATTACTGAACCAGATGGGTTTTCCCTAACAATCATCAACAGTTTCATGATCATCATTAGTCATTTAATTCCAGAGTTTTTTTTTAGTGAATACAGATGCCACCATCTGTCATGGGAGGATTTGAACCCAGGTCCCAGAATATCACCTAATAGTCTAACCGTAATATCACTGGGGTATCACCTCCTCTTGGGCCTGTATTTATTGGAATTTAGAAGAATGAACCAATCTTATTGAAACAAAGAAGATTCTTGGGGGCACTCAAGCAAATATTGCTAGAAAAACTCAGCAGGTCTGGCAACATCTGTGGAGAGAAAGCAGAGTTAATGGGTAGTTTAAATTCAATGACTGATTCAGAACTGACTGATGATCGATTGACAATCAAACAACGATAATCAAAGCCCTCTTGGTCCTGCAAAGTCCTTACTAATATCTGGGGGCTAGTGCCAAAATTGAGAGAGGTGTCTCACATGCTAAATAAGCAACATCTGACATACAGTCATACTCAATAAATCATACCTTGCACATAATGAACTAGATGTGACCATCAGCAAATCCGAAGAAGGATCATATCTCACTCAAAACATTAACACTATTTCCCCCTCCACAAATGCTGCCAGATCTGCTGAGTTTGACCAGTACTTTGTTTTTATTTCAGATTTCCCACATCCAAAATATTTTGCTTCTTTGCCACCACCATCACCATCCCTGGGTATATCCTTTCCTGCCAGCAGACGTGGTGACACAATAGTTTACAGTTGGTAGGAAGTCACCTTAGGAGTTCTCAACATTGAATCTGGACACCATGAATTCTCATGGTATCAGGTCAAACAGGGCGGGAAACCTCCTGCCGATTACCTCATATCACTCACCCTTAGCCAATGAACCAGCACTCCACTATGTCGAAGATCACTTGGAGGAATCACAAGGGTGGAAATGAACTCTGGGTTGGTAACTTTAATTACCTCACCAACAGTGGCTCAGCAGTACCTCTACTGACTGATCTGATTGAGTTTAAAAAAGCACAGCTGCTAGATTGATCTGATGCAAATGGTAAGGAAGACAAGAGAGAAAAACATACTTAGTCTCATCTTCACCAATCTGCCTGCCATATATGTATCTGTTCATGGCACCAAAATCCATTGGAGTCTCTTTGCACAGGTTTGAATCTGTTTAAGATGATGTAAAATAAATATGTAAAATCAATATTAACCTAGATTTCTTCAGTGGAGGATTACGTTTTCATTTCTTCTCTTGTCTGTGTTTTTTCCTCAGTACAAAAAAAAACTGAACTATACAAATCACATTGGTTTTCTCGTCATCATGATTCAGTCCATAATCTCTGTCCATTACATTTAAATGTTTTCTGCTGAGCCCACTTTGCTGTGAATGACAAGAATATATTTATGCCTATGATGCTCACTGTTTCTAATCCGCAATCTTCCATCTCCTGCTCGCAAGACACAAGTTGTATAATATTAAGAAATTGCATGTTCAGTATCTATAGTTTTCTCTTGTTGAGTTGGAAATGATGGGAAAATATGTGTCTGCATCTTTCTCTCCCTGGACCTAGTGTAATATAATTCAAATTGGTGGTATTCATGAATAATGTTCCTATTTGCAATTCATCTTCAGTGCACTTATCAAGCATCATTTGGCAGAGGACCTGACCAACTCTTTAAAAAGTTGAGAAGCATGCATTTTATAAATGCATTTAGACTATAGTCAAATAATTACAAGATGTTAAAATGCAGCATAGAAAGATGCCAGCCAGCCCATTTTGCCTATGCCAGGTTTATAAAAGCGCCATCAAATCAGTCACATTCCAATGGCTATGCAAATGCTTCCCCCTCAAGTATTTATCTCTACTAAATATATATGCATATGCATATATCATGCTGGGGTCAACACCTAGGAATTTCCTACCATAGAACATTGTATGGGAGCACTGTAGCCATACTAACTGCAATAACTGGTCTTTTTCAAATTGGCAAACTAGAACCAGTGGAGGGCTACATGGATCAGTGCTGGGATTGAAACAATTTATGATCCACAATGATGACTAGTTTAAAATGGACAGGCTGTATTGTAACCAATTCTGTTGATGCTAGCAAGAAAGGTAGGGAAGTAAATTGTAAGGAGAATACAGAGTCTGCAAAAAGATACACATTGGTTAAGTGAGTGAACATAAAACTGGCAACTAGAGTATAATGTGGGAAAATATTTGAGGTTGTCCACTTTGGCAGGAAGAAAAACAACAAAATATTTAAACCAAGCAATATCACAGAATCCTGCAGCACCAATGTATGTGGATGTATGTGTACAGGAATCATAAAAGTAAGCACAGCAGGTACAGCAAGTATTTAGGAAGACAGACAGAATGTTGGCCTTTTCTACAAGGGGAATGGAATCTCAAAGTAGTGATCTTGTGACAGCTGTACTGGGCATTGGCAAGACCATACATGCAGTATATTTGTGGTTATGTGTTTGGTCTTCTTAGTTAAGAAGGGTTATATTTGTACCGGAAACAGTTCAGAGAAGATTCACTAGGATGATTTCTGAAATGGCGGGGTTGTCTTATGAAGAAAGATGACGCAGATACTCATTGGAGTTTTAAAGAATGAAGGGTGATCTGATTGAAAGATATAAAATTCTGAGGGGGCTTGTCAGGATAGATGTTGGGAGGATATTTTCTGTCAGAGGGGGACATTTATTATTTGGGGTTCAGTTTCAGAACAAGATCTCTTCCATTTAAAAGTGAGATGAAGAGGAATTTCTTCTGAGGGTTGTTAGCGTTTGGGGTTCCCTTCTGCAGTGAAGAGTGGAGGCTGGGCCAGTGAATATATTCAAAATTGAGTTATACAGACTTTTAGATTGCAAAGGGAGTTAAAGGTTGTGAGGGAACAGGAAGGTAAGGTTAATGTCACTATCAGATCAGCCATGATCTTATCAAATGATACAGACAGCTCAATTGGCCAATGGTCTACTACTGCTCCTATTTCTTATGATTTTGTAGTCTTATGAAGGCTCATCACTACCTTGAAGGATAATTAGTGATGGACAATAAATACTTCTCAGTGACACATATGAATGAAGAAAAATTAATAAGGTCTGAGAAAAAGCAGAAATCCAGAAGTTTTTTAACTCTTTGACAGTGGATGTTTACAATAGGGGCAGTTTGCTACTTGGATTGAACACCATTGGTTGAAAAAAATGGTTACGAAATTACCTTTTTCATACATTGAAGACTTGTATCGATTCTAACTAATCCTCAGGTGAATAGTTGCTGAGGCTCTGAATATAAACCAATAGAAATATTAGAAATACTGATGCTCCAATTACAACTGTCTGCAAGGCAGAACAAACTAGCAAAAAATCAGAAGAGGAGTGCTATAAATCTAAAAATGAACAAAAGAAAATCAGAAAATGCTGTCAAACACTCAGAAGGTCAGGCAACATCAATGGTACAAGAGAAAAAGCAGAGGGAAGAATCTAGGAGCACAAATGAGGTGGACAAGGGTACTTAATTGTGCAGTAGGCAAAATATCAGCTTCCGGATGATGGAATGAAAGTTTTCACACTACATAGAAATTAACTAGATGAAGAGACCAAATCATAATGGTCTAATAATCAATCATTTGTCAGGGATTGATTAACCTAATGATTTAGTTCATTAAAAACAGTAAAACACATTATAAGATATAAAGCAGACATTGCATAAAACTACCAGAACTTTGTATGCAGCGTGTAGACCTTCAGCAGATTAGCTGCCAGACAGAGTTGTAACAATGTGTAGGCATAGTTTGTGGAGTCCTTAAAGGTAAACTTTCTTAAAGGCAAAATACACATACGACATCCCCCTTCTTTCCAAAAGAGAGTTTACTATTTACAACTACAACTGAGTCTAGGAGTGTCTATAACAAGGTAATTTGCTGATACATCCAGATCTCATGACAGCGACTTTGTCTGCAGATACTGGTGACTGCCACAGTCATCAGTGGTTTCCTTTTATTCATTCGTGGGATATTTGACTTGATTTTATTTGATTTATTGTTGTCACATGTACAGACATACAGTGGAAAGTGTTTTTTGCATGATCTACAGGCAGATCAAAGCATACAAAGTGTATCCAGTAGCAAAACAGAGTGCAGAATACAGTGTTACAGCCACAGAGGAGGTGCAGAGGGAGAGAAATCAACATTAACATTTGAGAGGTCTGTTCAAAAGTCTGATAACAGCAGGGAAGAAGCTGTTCTTGAATTTGTTCGTACCTGTATTCAAACTTTTATATCTTCTGCCCGATGGAAGAGGGTGGAAGAGGGTATAACCGGTGTGGGATGAGTTTTTGATTATGATGGTTGCTTTTTCAAGGCAGCGGGAAGTATACACGGAGTCAATGGATAGAAGGCTGGTTTGCGTGATGGACTGGGCCGTGTTCACAACTCTGTAGTTTCTTGCAGTAAAATGCTGTAAAACACTCAGAAAGTCAGGCAACATCAATGATAAAAGAGAAAAAACAGAGGGAAGAATCTAGGAGCACAAACGAGGTGGACAGGGGCACTTAATTCTGCGGGAGGAAAAATATCACCTTCCCGATGATGGAATGTAAATAAGGAAGTTGGTAGCAAATTAAAGGTTCCTGATGGCAAGGAGTGAGGATCTATTTTTAATGATTTAGCATGTTATTCATACTCATTAACACATATGGTAACCAGATTAAATTGTACATTTGCAATTCATTTGGCAAACAAGGGACATGTGCCTTCAGATTCACAACTGATTACAGGTGGAATACTGCAGATGAAGTAGCTTTCCTTGTGGATTTGGGAGGTAGGTGTCACTGGCTAGTCTGGCATTTATTGCTTATTTCTAACTGCCTTTGAAAAGGTCATGACAGAGTCATTGAGTCATATCTTTGGTCCAACCAGTCCATGCCAAACATAATCCCAAACTAAACTAGTCCCATCCGCCTGCTCCTGGCCCATATCGCTCCAAACATTTCCTATTCATGTACTTATCCAAAGGTCTTTTAAACGTTATAATTGTTCCCACATCCACCACTTCTTCAGCAAGTTCATTCCACACTTGAACCACTCTATGTGTAAAAATTTTTGCCTCATGTCTTTTTTAAATCTCTCTCCTCTCACCTCGTCTTGAAATCTCCTATCCTTGGGAAAGGACAACTGCCATTAACTCTATCTATACCCATCATTATTTTATAAACTTCTATCAGGTCACCTCTTAACCTCCTATGCTCCAGTGAAAAAAGTCCCAGTCTATCCAGCCTTTCTTTATACTCAAACCTTCTTGATCAATTAATTGATTTTATTGTCACGTGTACCAAAATACAGTGAAAAGCTTTGTTTACGAGCGTAACAGGCAGATCACAGCAAGCAAAGGATGTACAGATCAAAAAGACTTAGAGGCATACAGGTTACATTGCAGCTTACATTTTTTGAGGCCAGAGTGCATTCAACAGCCTGATAATGGCAGGAAAGAAGCTGATCCTGAACCTGCTTGTGCTTGTGTTCAGGCTTCTGTATCTTCTGAGACAACAAGGTGCAGGGCTGGATGAACACAGCAGGCCAAGCAGCATCATAGGAGCAGTATCTTCTGCCTGACGGAACAGGTTGTAGGAGGTCATTACCAGGGTGTGATGGGTCTTTGATGATGTTGGCCACCTTTTCGCGACAGTGAGCCATGTAAATAGAGCCTATGGATGTAAGGTTGGCTTCCGTGATGGTCTGGGCCACGCACACACCCTTCTGTAGTTTCTTACGGTCCTGGGAAAAGCAGTTGCCATACCAGGCCTTTATACATCCAGACATCACTTCTTGAACTGCTGCATGTCCATGTGGTGTCGGGACACCCATGGTGCTGTGAGGATGGGAGTTCCAGGATTTTGAACCTGGGACAGTAAAGAAAGAGCAATATAATTCCAAATGAGGATGGTGTATGGCATGGCTGCAAATCCACAGGTGTTAGTGTTGCCCTGCATCTGCCACCCTAGGTTATAGAGATTTGGAAGGTGCTGTCAAAAACTTTGATGATTTGCTACAGTGTATCTTGAATACAGTAAATATTCTGCTGCTCCTGTGTGCCCTTGGTGAACATAGTGAATGTTGAAAGTGGTGACAAGCAGGCTGCTTTGTCCTGGATGATATTGAGCTTCTTGAGTGTTATTACAGCTTCACCTATTCAAGACAATCGGAGAACATTCCATCATTTACCTGATTAGTGTTTTTTTTATTTGTTCATGGAACAAATAGTTAGCTTTTAATGCCATTCCTAATTCCCTAAAAGACAGTTAAGGTGGTCACACAACTGTGTGGAGTCAGAGTTAAGGTTTCTTGTCTGGTGACCCTTCCTCAGAACACTGGATCCGAAACGTTAACTCTATTTTTTCCTTCACAGATGCTGCCAAACCTGCTGAGCTTTTCCAGCAACTTTGTTTTTGTTCCTGATTTATAGCATCCACAGTTCTTTTGGTTTTTATTGTGTAGAGTCAGATGTAGGTCTGACCAGGTAATGATGGCAGATTTCCTTCCCTAAAAAGGATATTAGCAAACCAGATGGGTTTTTACAACAGCTGACAGGGTTACATGATCACCATTATGCTAGCTTTTTATTGAATTCAGTTTCACTTTTTCCTTGGTGGGATCTGAACTCATCTCCTCAGAACCTTAGCCTTTGTTTCCAGATTGCTAGTTCAGTGGCATTACCAGCTACATACAGGTAGTTCTGCTATAACGCGTGTTTCAATAATGCAAATTGGCCGTAATGTGATTGATGAATAGTGGACGCTGTTTGGATAATGCAAACTTTCTGATGTACAGGTATAGCAATTTTCTATAGTGATTTCCATGTAACACGATTTTCTAAGGCAATTTTCTGAAGTGCAAGGTCACGCAAAAATGTAACAATTGCGTTATAGGAGAACTGCCTGTAACTGCCTCTCCCCAGACAATGGACAGGCTTTGGGGTGACAGGAGGCGAGTTACTCACTACAGTGAGTTCTCAAACTCTGACTTGTTCTTGTACCTGCAGTCTTCAAATGCCTGGTCCAGTTCAGTTTCTCGTTAACGGTAACCCCAACTGTTGACAGTGAGGATTCAGTGTCACTGAATGTCAAGGAGAAATGGTTAATTTTTCTCTTGTTCAAGATCATCACTACCTGGCACATGTGTAGTATAAATTTTATTTGCTATATATCAGCCTAATTTTAAGCACTGTCCAGTCATGCTGCATATGGATGCAGACTGCTTCAATATCTGAGTCATGAGTCATGTAGAATATTGTCCTAAAGAAATTGCACGGTATTCATCCCGTAAAGGGTGTTGCAGGGAAAAGATTGAGAACCGACCTTGCTATTATGAAAGAAATATTGGAACGGAAAGAGGTTTCTAAAATAGAATTGCTTGACATGAATCACCATGGTCAGATTGTTTTGCAAACAGAAATGCTTGCCCTAAGAAATTGTCCTCAAAGAGAGACATCTTGTACTGTAACATAGAAAATTGTTTGGTTGCTTCAATTGTGTTGTAATTGAACCTTTTGTTTTTCTTTCTTAAAAGAAAAAGTATAGAACATTGATTGTATTTTAAATGCAAGGCATAGAACATGTTCCTTTTTCTTTTCATTAGCTTGTGTTTGAATGTTAAAAAGAAATTATTGAAAAAGATGGGAATTTGCTAAGTTGTCAAGGATTTAAATTTAGAAGGGAAACATGATGTCTGATAATCGATTACTTGTGGAGATATAATAGGATGGGCTCCTATTGTACAGTGGTCATGTCCCTACCGCTAAGTCAGGAGGCCTTTATTCAAGTCCCACTGATTCCAGAGATGTATAATAACATCTGCAAACATGTTGATTAAAAAATATCTGCAGATATACAATGGAGAAGCAGGCAGGGTTGGGTATAATGAGAGCTAATGGACTGGTATAATCAATAGCCTGTCTGCACAAAGAAAATCTATATCCCTTACTTTCCCGAACAGCCTGGTTAGAATCCATCAAGAAGCAATACGGTGGCTCAGTATTTAGCAATGCTGCCTCACAGCGCCAGGGACCCGGGTTCAATTTCACCCTCAGGTGACTGTGTGGAGTTTACACAGTCTTCCTCTGTCTGCATGGGTTTCTGCAGGGCGCTCCAGTTTCCCTTCAGTTTCCACTCGAAAAATGTGCAGGCTAGGTGAATTGGTCATGCTAAATTGCCCATGGTGTTCCGGGATGTGTAAATGAGGTGGGTTACAGGGCAGGGAGATGAGTCTGAGTGGGATGCTGTAAGGGTCGTTGTGGACTTGATGGGCCAAAGGGCCTGTTTCCACACTGTAGGGATTCTATGATAGGAGATATGACTATTTTTAAGGAGAATTTTGTTGGACCAGGAGATTGGTGCTGTGCTGTTGCATTCAACTCTAGTGGAGGTTGTACAGGAAGGTCTGGCTATGGGTGCCCAAGAGGGAGAGGGAGTTGGAGAATGATGAATTACGATGCTAGGATCCCAGTGTGGCAGGCGGGAAGATGGTGGAAACATAGCAATTTAAGTAAAATAAAGTAACTGCCAAGGATCTGAAACTAAAATAAAGTGCTGGAGAAATCAAGCAGGTCTGGAAACAACAATGGAGAAAAATGTAGGGTTAAGATTGGTCAATACTGTGTGGAACTGGAGGAACACAGCAGGTCAGGCAGCATCAGAGGAGCAGGAAAGTTGACATTTTGGGTTTTCACGCTTCATCAGGACTTTTTATGACCCCACCCTGATCACCAAACAGCGGTATGGCATACTGACCTCTACATCGCTGAGGCCAAGCACCAACTCTCCAACACCTCCTTCTACCGTCCCCTTGATTATGACCCCAACCTGATCACCAAACAAGTCCTCCTCTCCAAACCAACCTCACCATCAAACTTACTAATAAGGGGGAGGCACGGTGGTGGTGTGGCATACAGACCTTTATATCGCTGGAGGCCAGGTGCCAACTCTCCGACACCTCCTCCCACAATTCCCTCGATTATGACCCCACCCCTGATCACCAAACAATTCTTGCTGTCTCCGAGTTAACCTGGGGTCCACTGTAACTTTTCTTTGGATGGTGGTAGCATTTCAAACTCAAAATCTTCCTTCCAACAAGGCAGAATTATGCTTCTGGCTTGCAGGGCGTGGATGTCTGTCTGAGTGTCTTTCAAATATGGTGTCAGAACTTCCAGCCTTCATCTGTGAAGCAATGGCAGGGTTGCACGTGAACAGCCAGTCTGCCTAATCCAGCTGACTTCTGTAAGGACAATCTCCAATGCAAAAAGATTCTACTCATTGATTGATCGATACCTCTTTGTCAAACTTATTTGTCAGATCTTATACATGAGACACGTACCCACTAGTGCTATCATTTGTTGACTTCTACTGGAACCAGCTACACTGGGGAGATTCACTG